AAGCTACCTTTTGGTGCCTGTGTGACCAAGAGGAGGCAGATGGAGGGTCAGCAAGCTCTGCACAAAACATGCCGGAGAGCCCTGCACACACACTGCTTCCCGTGCCACTCAGGCCGCCCACCTCCTGTGACCAGGGCTGGTGTGGTGCAGCTGCACCCCGCTCTGGTCTGATGGTTTTCAGCAGGAGTCCGTGCTGATTTGGTCAGTGGCTGGGCCAATATTTTAAGTAGCACTTGGTTAATAAACGTAGGCCTTCAAGAAGGGCTCACGTGGTTTCAAGAGACATACACCCGACAAGAAGGGGTCTAGGCTCCAAGGAAAGGATTGTGTGGGAAGGGCAGGGGCGCGATCATTCAGTGCCCACCCCTCAGGCAGTTGGTAAGGATTTCTCTGAAGGGGAAAGAGCAGTGTCCAGTGCGCACTGCACACTGAGAGCTCTGGGGTCTGCCATGCTCAAAGACCTCACTCACTTCAGTAGGTTAGCTCTCTCCTGGGTTTTCTGTTTCCTTCATCACTTCCACCAAATGATAAAGTTTTCAGTTAAAAAAAAAGTCTCCCAGGGTTAAATTCTTGCCCATTTATGATAGACGTCTTGAAAAAGTCTACACTCCTATTTCCCACTTCCTTTCTTTTCTTACCTGTTCTTGCCAAGGTGGCCTGTGCACTGAGCCCCAGGGACCCCTCCTCGGGGGTCAGGCATTCCTGCAGTCTGTAGGCAGTAGGTCCTCTGCCTTCTCCCAGCCCGAGCCCCCTCCTGAACTCTAGGTCCACAGGCGGCCTGCTGAGTGAATGGGATGACCCACACGCACCTGTCCCATGCTCCCAATGCCCAGGGGTTCATGCAGTCTTTCCAAACTCCACCATCCTTTCTTGCAGCGCTCCCGCGCTCTCTGCACCCCTTTAATCCCCACCCCCACCTTGCTCCAGCCCTTGGATCCACTGGTGGTTCCTGTGTTGACTCTTCATTTTGTGCGTTACACGGGAGCAACGTTGCTTCCCTGTTTCCACAACTCCAGCTAGCTCGTGTTCCGCCATCACCGCAGACCACATCGTGAGGGGCTTGTGCCCCTCCGTGCTCCACCTGAGTGCTCAGCTCTACGCCTCTGTTTTTCCCCATTGACTACAAGCAGCTCCCAGACTGGAACGAAATCCTCCTCAGGGCAGAGAATTAGCTGCAACTCAGCGGTGAGCAAATGGCTTTCTGTGTCCTGCTGAGAGGGATAGGAGAATGAATTGCAGCGGTTACAGTCTGGAAGAAGACAGCAAACATTCCTGAGAAGCTGAGTATGTTTCCCAAAAGAGGGGGACCAGAGCTTCCCTGGGAAGCTTAGCCATTCTGGTTTGGATTTTTAGGAAAAACCACAAATTAGAGAAAAATAGAAAAGCACCCCCATTCCTTTTAAAATGAACATGGGGGACTTCGAATAAAACATTCTGTAAAACCAAGTCAGAACTAAGCTTATTAAACTGGATCATTTTCACTGAACCACAAATGTTTTTTCTAAAAATTACTTGGTTAACCAATATATCTGGAGGGAAAAGTTTTTTACAAAACAATTTAACTGACCACATATTTCATGTCAGGTCCCTGCTAAATAAATCATTGTGGAAATTCACATGTGTGCCCTCCTTCCTGGGCAGCTCAATTCCAAGTGCTCATGATCTACTCTGGTGCCCATTATGCCATCCCCTCCCCCACCTTTGTCACAGGATTTGATGCACCTACTCTCCCAGTGACGCCATCATGATGCCAAGCCTGATCCAGACCTTTGCATTTGCTGTTCATCTCAACTGTGGAGACTGGCTGTTGACCCTGTACACAGACCTCTGCCCCTCAGAGGCTGATAACTGGCAATAGAAATCTGAGCTGACAAACATTGAGAGGGGGGAGCACATTTCAAGGGTCCCAGGGCACCTGTGCCCAAATCCGGGAACAGTCCTGGGTTGAGCACAGAAAGAGGAGGGGTTGGAATCTTGAGAGGCAAAATTAATCCCACCCACTGCTGATAGTCCCACAGATGCTGCACAGCCTCCTTAGCTGGCCCTTCTCATAGGCCTGCTGGAGAGGCCACCTGTGGGCAGGTGTGTGAATGAGGACTGGTCCCCCTAACCCACTTTACAGGGGGCAAAAAGAACACCTCAGGAAGGGTAGTCATAGCCTCCCCTGGGCCTCTTAACAGGTTGCTGGGTTCCCCACTCTCAGGCACCACTTTTCCACTAGGGCGCACCAAGCTGGGTGGCACTCAGATTGTCCCCAGGCATTGCCCCTCTCGGGGCCACAATTTCCTCCTTTGATCAGAAAAGGCCATAAGGGCTTTTTAGGCCTAAGGACAGGAGCTTGAGGAGGCAGCCTGAAAAGTGGGAAGATGCCAAAAGGGAGTATCAGTCTGGTGACGCCAGGGTCAGTGGCTGCAAATACACTGGGAACATGCAGTGGTAAGGGAAGGAGATTGGGTGGCGAGCTGCTCACCTCCCTCTTTGAAAACATCACTGGAGTCGGCTGGAGCAGGGGTTGGAGCCACGCGATCAGTAAACCCTGGGACTCTCTGGTCCCCCTGCTGCCTGGAGAAGCCACCTCAAGAAGCCACAGCTACCCTCCCCAAGGCCTGGGACTCCTGGATGGAGCTCCATCCTGGGTGGGTAGCTCCTCTTCCTCCTCCCAAACTCCTCCCATGAACCATGCCCAAAAGAGCCCATTTTCCCTCTTCTCTCTACAGGAAAACCTGTGTCTGCTGCCCCGAGTGTGGGAGGGACAAAGGGTAGGAGCAGTTGCCCCTGTCACCACCCTACCTGCCATGGAAGAGAGAGGGCAAGCCACAGAGACAAGTGGCAGAGGGCTTGCTACTCCGGTCCCCCAGCACCAGGTGCCCCCAAGGGCCCTCACATGGCTGCCTGTCTCATGGAGAACTCCCCTGTCCATGACCGTCCACTGGCCCATTTCCCTCTCCAACTTTCTCCCACTTCTGGAATCCCCCAAGAAAGGAGGGTAGGCCTGACTGACTGGGGTTGGCCTCCAGGCTCCGAGACTCCGGGAGAAGGCTCGTGGCCCAGGAGCCCCCACGGTCAGGACCCCAGTAGTCCTGGGATGAGGAGCAGTGGCAGAAGAGGGAAGGGCGTTAGGAGACACTAACTGCCCCTGAAGTGCCCGTTGTCCAAAGGGACCAGAGAGGAAGTGCAGGGGGTTGTGGATGGAAGTGCCAGATTCCTTGAGTGCTGTTCAGTGTCCATTGGAATAGCCCTGCCATGGGCAGCTCCAGGACAGTCCTGCTGCTGCCGCTGCCCCTGAACCCTCCAAGACTAAGCCCTGGCCCCATGGCTGGTACCCTGGAGGAAAGCAGGCCCCCAGCTCACCCCCCACTGCCAACATGCCCCAAGGCCTCCAGGTGGGCGGTGGGTCTCCCTAGCCTGAGTGGGAGGAAGAAAATGCTGGCTGTGGCTCCTTCACCCACCTTGAGGGGTACTTCCTCTTTTTCTTTTTTAAGATTTGACTTTTAGAAAGAGGAGAAGGGAGGAAAAAAGAGGGAGAGAAACATCAAGGTGAGAAAGAAACATCGATGGGTTGCCTCTTATAAGCATCCAAACTAGGGACGGGGCCCACAGCCCAGGCATGTGCCCCCACCAGGAATCAAACCCGCAACCCTTTGCTTTGCGGATGAAGCCCAACCAACTGAGGCACGAGGGTCAGGGCTGGGCTCCCGTCTGAGGAAGGGTTCTGGGCACTGCTTGCAGGCAGCTCAGACCAGATTGCCTGTAGCCTCCATGGCGATGTCCTGGCCCTCTCACCCTCAGCCCTGGGAGGGCAGGACCACAGGCCCGTGGACCCTCCATAGGAAGCAGCACCTGGTGCAAACAGTGCTGGTAGGTAGGGCGAGGGGGGCCATGGAGGCTAAAGGGGAGGTGCTATGTGGGTGGAAGAGGGAGTAGACAACACTGAGACACCCCCTGCCACAGCAGCCCCAGCCATGGGTGCCCTTGCGGCACATGGGCAGGGTGCCGTCTGCTATTCTTCCTATTTCCCAGAATTCTAGACAATTTATAAGATAATTACGTTAAAGATTACAAGTCACTAGTACAGTAGGAAATAATTGTACTAACAAAACCCCCATAGATAAGACAGTGACTGCAGTGGAGTCTCCCAGCCTTATTTTTTGTCTAGGGAAGCCCATGTGTCCCCCTGCCAGTGGAAAGAGGTGACCGATGCGACCTCACATTGGCAGGTAGCAAGGCCTGGAGCACCAGGTGGTCACTGTCATGGCACTTGAAATGACAGTGATTGCAGAGCTCCCCAAGGGCCTATCAGAACACAGGTGTGTGGAGATGGAGTATTACTATTTTGCACAGTGTGTTTTGAAGTGCACCAGTAAGTAAAGGACAAAGTAGTAGATTCCTATAAGACAAAACCTTCTCTCCTAATTTAAGCCGTGTGAGCCCAGGTTTTTACGTAGCAGGCTTGTTTTAGGGGTAGCCGCGTGCCCAGGGAGGTGGAGGGCCCTCACGCTGGGTCCTCGAGGCGCCGGGGCCTGACTATTCGCGGGCGGCCCCATCCTGCTCGGCTAAGCCGGGTCGGCAGCGGGGAGGGAGAGAGCCAGGCCGCAGTTCTGTGGCCAGATTACCAGAGTTTCCGCTGGAATGTCCGGCCCCTCTCCCCGTAGATTGGTCCCCAAGCGCAGCACCCTGCCGTCGAATAAAGATGTGAGACTCTCCGAAGCTGCTACATCGAATTCGTCTCTTTCGTCCTCTTCCTCTCCCACTCACGCGGAGACTCTTCCCCGCGAGAGTCCTGAAGGGACGCGGGCCCCTCCCGCAAGCGGAAGGGACACGGGGTGGGCGTGGTCCCCGCAGAGAGGGCGCAGCCAGAGCCCGCGAGCAGGGCACGGCGGCAGGCGTCGGCAGGCTAGGATCCCGTGCCGCCGGAGCGGGTTCCAGGGGACGAGGGTGGAGGGCGGATAGACTCCACATCCCATGGTGCCGCGCGGCCGCTTCCGGGCCTCCGTGACGCCGTGCGGCGCACCGGACGGGAGGCGGCCTCTGTCATGCTGCGCGCGTTGAACCACCTGGGTGTGCGGCCCCCGTGCGGGCCCCCGGCCCCGCTGCTGCTACCCACGCGCGGCCGCAAGACCCGCCACGACTCGCAGGCCAAGTCCAAGGTCGGGCGCGTGGCGACCCCGCCCGCGGTCGATCCTGCGGAGTTCTACGTGCTGACGGAACGTTACCGACAGTACCGCCAAATCGTGCGCGCCCTCAGGTGTGTGTGGCGGAGGGGGAGGCGGCCGCCGGAGTGTGTTGGGGCGGGCGGGGTACGAGGGTGTCGACTTTGGGCGCGTCTCTGCGCAGGCTAGAGTTCGTGTCCGAGGTGCGGAGGAAGATAAGCGAAGCCCGGACCGGGGTTCTGGCAGAGCGCAAGGCGCTGGAGGACGCCACTGAGCACCGCGACCTGATGGCCTGGAACCTGGCGGAGAACCGGCGGCTGCACGAGTTGCGGTGAGGCGGACGGGACAGGGCCACCTGGCTGGCACGCAGGGAACCGAGCCAGCTCAGTCTCGGCCTCTTGCTCCTACCAGGATAGAAAGGCTGCAGCAGGAGGCGCGGGAGCAGGAGCAGCGGCAGGCCGAGGAGAAGGTCCTTAAGGCCAGAGAGACACAGGCCTGGGTGCAGCTCAAGGAGCAAGAACTGCTGCAGCTGCAGGTGCGTCGGGTCTCCAGGGGGTGGGGCTGGAGGCCGGGAGCTCAGCCTCGGAGGCTGTCGGCGTCCTGGGTGCAGCGAAGTGGGGCACTGGCTACGCGCAGATAGAGGGCAGTGTTGAGAGCTAGGTAGCAGGTGAGGACTTGGGAGAGTGCCAGGAGTGTCTGGCAGGCGTCCAGACCTGAAAGTGACAGTTGACATTGTAAGATGTTCAGGTAGCGGTTGGATGGTAAGCCGGTGTCTGAGGGAGGGACCCTCACAATCCACAAAGAGTTTGTATTTTGCCTAATGGGTGATAAAGTCACTTAAGGGTTAAGTATGTGGGCCATGTTGGCAGGAGTGATCCAACAAGAATGAATGAGGCTTGAATTAAAGTCATAGAAGAGGAGGAGTTTAAGAGGTAACGTTGAGGGAGCTATTCCACCCTGCAGGCCACTAGAATGTCACAGCTGGTGTGCTGTGGTTTTGGCAGAGGTGTCCAGGGGATGAGTAAGAAAGAGGAATGTGGCAGGGCTGCTGGAAGGTCAGCAGGGCAATCAGAGAAGATCTGGGCTGCAAGCATCCTTCCCAGGGAAGAGCTGGAGCCTCTCTGTGAGCGGGCCGAAGGCCAACGGGCTGGGTGGGCAGTCTGGCGCGTGCTGGAGGCTCCCATTCTGCTGGCCTTCTTTCTCCCAATAGGAGGAAGCGAAAAACTTCATCACCCGAGAGAACCTGGATGCTCGAATAGAAGAAGCGCTGGACTCTCCAAAGAGCTACAACTGGGCCATCACCAGGGAGGGGCTCGTGGTCCGGCCACAGCAGAAGGGCTCCTAAGGGGCCATTGAGGACAGTACCTGCCCAGGGACTGTGTGTGTGTAGGCATTTGAAGGTTGAGTCTGACCTGGAATAAAACAGTGGCGTTTCTTATGAAGAAGGAAGCTAACCTGTTCTAGCGTGGCCCTCATGTTCTGGCCTCTGTACCTCCCACTTGGGCAGAAACTCCCACACTCAGTGCCCTTTTCTGTCCCATGTACAACTCTCAGCACAGTACCAGACCCTAGAGGTTCCCATCGTACAGAGGAGCAGATTGGACCACAGTCCCCAGGTAACCTCCTGAGTGTCATCGAGGGCAGTCAGTGGTTAGCAAATTATGGTCCATGGGCCAAATCTGGCCTATTACATGTTTTTGTAAATCAAGTTTTATTGGAACATATCCACACCCATTCATTGACTGCTTGGTTATTAAAATGGCAGAGATGACTAGTTACAACAGGGACCATATATGACTTGTAAAGTCTAAGGTATTTGTGACATGGCTTTTACAGAAGTTTCCTGACCCTTATCTAGGGTTTTAGGGTTCTAACCAGAGCAGCTATCACCTGGTACCTGAGGCCCAAGCTAACCATTGGCCAAAGACCTGTTTCTCTTTGGCCATGGGCTTTGCTGGCCGCGATCTGGTGTGCCTAAGGCACAGAAGGCAAGGTGGAGACCCCATTTCTTCTGGTAGCCCTTTCCACCCATGGCCTCGGTGACCTGCATCTGCCCTGGCACCGCCAGCCTCCGTGGACCACCCAGCAGATGCGTACTGGTCAGGCTTTACAAGGTCAGTGGAGTTTGTCAAGCATTTGAATCAAACCCTGTGGGTACCAGAAATATTGTGATTAAAGTTCACAAGATTGAAAAAGTGAATATACGAATTCATGCCCCCTATTCAGACAGGCTCTCAAGCAACATCTGGGTTGAGGTTGAAGAGATGTTTCTTTGAGCCAGAGCTGCTTCCCTTTGTCACCATTGACTTGAACTTGCCCAGGTACTACAAGAGGGGAAAAAAATTAAAAATATATACACACACACACACACACACGTGTGTGTGTGTGTGTGTGTGTGTGTGTGTGTGTGTGTGTATAGAAACAGCCCGCCCGCTGCCCCTTTCTGTCTTCTCCGCCCTGGGAACGGCTGTCCTGCCACAGCTCCTCACCCCCTGAAAATGTACCCCAGGCCACGGTTGTCTCCCCCCTCGCCTTGATCAGGAGCACCTCTCAGTGGCGGAGCTGGTCACTACCTGCAGTGGTGCTGAAACAGACACTGATAGACGAGAGCCTCAGCAGTTTGGTAGTCGCACATCCTCTGGTCTCACTTATTTCTAGCTGCAGCTTCCAAACCAGGGCCGTTTCAAGACATCAACACAGCAGCCACGTTCATTGGGGCTGGGGCACCACAGTAGGGGTGGCAGGCTCTGGGGCTGGAATTGGGACTGTGTGTGGAAGCCCCATCGTTGGCTGTGCCAGGGACCCTGCCCTGAAGCCACAGCTCTTCTACACCACTCTGGGCTTTGCCCTCTCAGAGGCCATGGGGCTCTTGCCTGATGGTGGTTTTTCTGTCCTCTTTGCCATGTGAAGGAGCTGCCACCACCACCCATAATTCTTTCTCCCATGTCTTGTCTGCCCTGTATGTTCCTTTTCCTATACCTCTCTAGGCAGCCTGGAGAAAGTGGTTGGCTCCAGATTTGACAGAGGAAAGACAAACACTATTAACTTTATATAGATATCAAAATCCCAGCTTCTTTCCTGAACTCTCACATTGTAGAGAGGGTCTGGGAACCCCCCAAGAAATGAAAACATTTTTAAAGATTTTATTTATTGATTTAGGCTTAGAAAGATGGGGAGGGAGGAAGAGAGGGAGAGAAACATCGATGTGCAAGAGCTATATCGATGGGTTGCCTCGTCACACACCCTCCACTAAGAACCTGCAGCCCAGGCACATGCCCTGACTGGGAATCGAACCAGCAACCTGTTGGTTCACAGGCCGACACTCAATCCCCTGAGCCATACCAGCCAGCATGAAATGAAAACATTTTAGGGAATATGGGCAATCCCCGACATTCAGGTGGGGAAGTAGGTAATAGAGATACAAGCAGAAAGCCGGTGATTATCATAGTGCTTTGCACCCAGCCTCCATCAGGGCACTGCACCCCTGAGAGCAATGGCCTTTCTCCTCAAGCTGGTAATGGCTCTTTCCCCTGACACTGAACGTGGGTGCAGCACAGTGGCGTCCTTGCTTTCAGATGCTTAACTTACAGGGTGAGAGCAGATGGACACACGTGTGCCATGGGTTGGCAACTGTGCCCACAGTCTTAGGCTTTGTTGTGAGTGGACAGACCATCTGGTCCCCCGCAATGGAAGCTTTTGGTGAACTGTCGCATGGGACACTTGGCCTGTGTTAAGAAGTCCAATTTTATTCTTTCCAAGTCCTTCCCCTCTGCAACAGGATGCAGACACAAGCTATCTGTCTTCAGGTAGAGGAGACAGCATGATCCATTCTTAAAGCTCCGTCTTGGGCTGCTTGTCCTTCACTGCTGTCCTTTAGTGTCCTGCATGGGGCGGTAATTCCTTAGCATTTACTGCTGATGCCAGTGTGTCGTACAGAGCCACCTGTCAACCAAGCTTCAATGTTTTTACCCACCTACAGCCATCTTACTGATGTAGACACAAATAGACAGCTTACTGGTACCTTCGGGGTGAACTCAAGCCCAGTCCCAAGCAGCTTCTAGTGGATGGCTGTAGAGCGCTGCTATGTACATGGGTAGGCTATTGGATCCTACCCCGCCCAAGTGACTGAACTGTGTTGCATTCCACGGAAGAATGCCTAAGTACTCACAGAACCCTGAAAGCTAACCTGATGGGCATGGTCTAACACGAGGCTCTGTTCTTTTATTATATTGACCGCCAGAAACTTTGCTGGGTAAGCACTTTTCACCCAGGATTTGTGTCCCCAATTAAGCATAGATGTCCTACCAACACACCTGGATTCTTGCCCCTTGCAATTCTCCTGGATAAGCAGCAAGACATCAACGAAGGGACCACCGTGATGTCCTGGGGGTGGGTGTTCAAGCTCTTGAAGATGACATACAAAATTGTAGAGGTGTTCACCTCTTGGCCTGGGTGTTGATGGTATACTGCCAGGTGAAGGAAAACCACTTTTACTGGTCCAAATACACTGGAAAAGAGAATATTTGCCACATGAACAGGTGCTGGGTGTCTCCTTAATCTGTTCCATCATGGAGACCACACTAGACCTGAGTAAGCCTAAAGTCACGCCCCATGTTTTTCAAGTATACTCCAAATTTTCTGCTTGGGATACAGTCCCAGGTACCCAATATTCCCTGAAATCTTTGGGAAAAAAGTTCCCCCTTTTCACTGACACAAGTACAGAGGTGAAATAAATGCCTAGGAAACAAGCCCAGTTGATTGCTGAAATGTGGGCAATTCTGGCAGGAAGAGTCAAGCTTGGAACTCTTTTTTTTTTCCCCACCCAAATAGGAAGTCAAAGGCAATTTTTGCCACTCCAAAATCCAGATAAAGACAGACCTAGTGATGAAGCTGGTCATTTCTTTATTGGATGCTGAGTGAGTATTTCCTCAGAGTGGTTAAGTGCATAAACAATAAATGTGAAGCTTGCTTAATTATTCTGACATGAACATCCATGTCAAGAAACAAAACATTGTCTGGGTCAAATTCATAGTTAAGTTTACAGGGTCTTCAGGTCAAGAACCTGAAAGGAAGGATCCCACTATATTGCCACGAAGGCAGTAAAGTAACCTGAAGATCAGAGCTGCATTAAGCCCACCCTCCCTTGTACTCCGCAGAGGCTCTGTGCATCACAGATACCCAATAACTTCCCCAAATATTTGGGCATTTCCCCTCACTTAGGACAAAAACACAGGTAAATGGTTGAAAGTCTCTGGAAAGCTGTGTTATATTTTTCTTTTACCAAACCCAACCGGGGGCGGGGGGAGCGTCCTACCCCTCACACCTACCAGGCAAATCTCCAAAGATGGAGTTCCAAACAAACTCCAAAAGAAAGGAGTCTTTTATTTAATGGCAAGTTTCTACCTAAAATATCTGGATAACAAAAGTAAAGGGAAAGGAAAAGACAGAGTATGACATCAAAAATAGCTATTTAAATATTTGTCATTACAACTACTACATAGGTTCAAGAACTGAAAAGAACACAAAAACAAAAATCCAGTCACAGTGTTATTATCACCAACATCTTTGGAAATAACAGCAAGTTTCTGCCTCAAAGCTCACTCCCTCTAAGACACCCAAAGAAAAATCACTCTGTCACCCTCTGCCGCCCAGTTCGAGGTTCTGCCAGGAACCTCTTTTCCCACCCAAAGTATCACAAACGTGGACGGCTTAGCTGGTGTCTGGTCGCCGTCGAGCTCCGGCCACCCACGGCAGCCCCACTGGTGACCTTTGATACACCCCCACCCCACCCCGGCGGACGGGAAAGAACCAACTGACTTTGCTTCCGGGGAGAGCTCCTTTCCCAAAGTCCTTTCCCGGAATCCCAGGGCCGGGGGAGGGTCCAGCCTTCCAACCCACGCGGGCCGAGTCTGCCGTGTTCGCTCTTGCCCCTCTTCAGGCCGCCACGTCTTACGACGGGGCACAGTCTCCAGTCACACAAGCGTAGCTCAAACTCCCCGCCCCCCCCCATTTAGTGGGGAGGGAAGGGTGTCTCCCATTACAGTATTTCACATTCTTTTATTTTCCATTTTAAAGGATAGCTACTGAGGGAGAGACATGGTCTGGGAATGGGATTTTGGGTCTGAGAAATTCATAGCTGAGGTATGAATGTCAACATTGGCTACCACGCCTTTGCCTGTCACTGCCCAGCCCACAAGTGCACGCGCCCGGTGACCCGCCGAGCCACACTCACCCGCGGCTGCCACCGTTGCCGTTGCCAGAGATGCCCCAGAGGCGGAGGGATCCATGGATTCGCCCTTCCTCTGGCCTTAACAACAAATCTCTGGCCAAGTGACTCCAAGGTTATTGTCATGAAGCCTCCTGGCAAGGAAGCCTGGGACACACGCTGGGCAGGCCTCCAGCCCGCTGTGGGGCCGAGGGCTTTGCATGAACAACCCGTATACACGGATTTCTTAGAAACACTGTTTCTCACAATTTACAGTATTGAGAGTGGGGTACACACAGTTGTTTTATGGGGGCTTTTTAAAAATAAGAAGGTGAAATGATACTTGAGACAGCAATATCGCTTGACAATTTGTGATTTATACTTTCCGAAATTCTGCCAAAGTTATCTCTAATGACAAACAGCATATCACTAGCTTGTCTTTTAACTTGAAAAACAATCCAATTCTTTTCAATGAAATTTAGCCTAAAAACAAATACACTTTAATCCCAACTTTCAATATAGAGAAATTGTATTTGTCAAGAGGGATTTCATGTAAAATACCTCCAAGTTAACATTTGGTAAAAGTCACCATTAAAAATATATATATATATATATATTTGAAAACATCAGCTTATAAACTGTTCTATATCCTTTTTATCATCATTTATCAGGATTGCCACTTCCTTGTGTGAGACACATGGTTTTTTCCTCTGAATATTTTATATCAGCCTGTGACATTCAGCACCTAGGGGGAAAAATAAATAACAAATTTCCAGGATTCAGTTACTTTCTGATCTGGTGAAATTTAAGGCTGGATTTTGATGTTGGACGCTCGTTGCAAGTGTACTAACTTCTCTTATGGGTGAAACCGATTTGGGTGCCCGGAGCAGATTGAGTCATGTCACACATCTTGCTGGGCCCTTTTGTGAGTTCATAATAGAAATAAAATAAGACTTTGTAAAAAAATATCTCCAAGAGAGACTGGAGTGT